CCAATAGACAATTAGTCTTGGTTCTGCTTTTAATAAGTACCATAAAAATATGTTACAACCTACTGAGATGTAAAGAATAGAAAAATCAATACTATTACTCATACTGCAACAATTTTCAAACTAATTTTATATTCTTTACACTATAATTAACTTACACCCTTATTTGACTTAAAGATGTAAGTCCAAAAACTTTACTTCTTTGTTTTCAGTCTGAATGGTACTACTTTTGCCTAAGCTTGCATAATTTGACCTTGCTAGCGTCCTTCGAAAATGGCACAAATATTGATCTAAAGGACAGATGGACAAGAATCTAGTGATGCAAGTATTGCAAACCAAAACCACTAATGCAAGAGTAATAGTAGTGGTTTGAGCAAAGCAGTTGTTCAGAATAGGGTATATGGACATACTAACAAGCCACTGACTCAAAGACCAACAGTGCAAGAACGTCAACGCAAGTACCAGTGACCCCGATTCCAAAGAGTACAAGAATATTGGTCTCAAGCAAGGAACATGTGCTAATTATATTTCAAATATTGGAATTGTGATAATATGTAAATGAAAGAAATTAGTAGTGTGTTATCTAACTATCAGAGTCAATATTGACTCGTTTCTTCATATCCCATATTATCAGATTCCAACAATATCAATATCTACTCTTCCAACTCAGATACATTCACTTTTTATCATGCATCCGACACCAACTAATTTGAAAGTGAAGTTCTATTATCTTATTTGTTTTGATAAACTTGCAGGAAAAGTGTAGTCATAGAAGGCAGTATTGATTGGTGACCTGAACTGAGTGGCAACGAGAGAGAATATTCTCCCCACTAGACACGAAGACACCAAATAAATCTAATAAACTAGCAATAGTTAAAGACCAGTGAGTTACAATCGACTAAAACCAGAGTTCATAGTAACCTATATCTAATAACCACTCAGTATCGCCCTCTAGGCACTTGGAACTGATTATCAGAGCCATGACACAAAGCTTCAAACATCAGAAAGTGAAGTGTTCTTGAGATTCACTCTTCCAAACAGACCAGGCATACAGGAAGTGCAATCAAATCACAGCACAGCAAATACTAATTATATTAACTGTGACTTGTGGTTTAATTCACAAACACAATAACCTGTGGGGTTCCAGATTTGAAATGAGCTGAATATTGGTATCCATCTGCTCTAACAAAGGATCTGGAGAATATGCTTTAAAGCCCAATTCCTGCCATTTTTGTCTGGCCGTAATCTGGAAAATATGCTTAGAAGCAAAGTCATCTGTAGTCATAGTAATAGTATCATAGTAAAATACACTATAATAGTCAACACTGTAAATAGTATGCAATTCCAGCTTCTGCAGACGTGAACTTGTTTCTGCCAACTAACCAACAAAAAGTTGTCGTTTATTAGCACTCTCACCATTAACGATTTCACAAATAAAACACAGTGTGATCTGTGTAATTTTGCAGACAAGTTAGTGCAGATGAATAACTTGATTTGTTAGCCAGTGAGAAGTATTCATTAGAAATGTGGTCAGTACTATGAACTAATTAACTTGGGTATACTTACAGAAATGTCGTTCTACTAATCAGAATGAAAAAACCTCATTACATAGTCAAATTAATATCCAGTAAATCGACTTGAACTTATACCCTGATTCTACAGTTCTAATCCCACAAGGCTGGATTAAATTTCTCTTTATTAATCAGGTTGGTGTTTGTGTACCAAAGAAAACAACTTAATTTCAGACTACAGATAAAATTTCATATTTCATTTAGTTTTTCAAATTACAATTTTTTGAGTAGCAAAATTGAAAGGGAGTTTCCCGCCTTACTTTCATACTCTTTTTTGCTCTAATGAAAACAGACATCCCTTTTTAAGCGAAACGAGGGAAGACAGCATAGAAGCTAAAGTAACGACTTAATTTTTTTTTATATAAGATGATTTATGAATTTTATATAAGATGACTTAATAACAATAGCAGAAGTTGTAACAAAGAATTGAAAGGGACCAACAATGAAAGTTATCATAATTGTTCTTCTATATACTTATGCTTAAACAATATCACAGACAATGTCCTTTCAAAGATACTAATTCCTTTTGAAAATGTTCAATTGATTTAAAATCTCCAGTCAAGATAAGGATATTAATCCTACATGACATACTGTTCTTGGCTAATCCCACCATAATCAAAAGGAAATACCACTTGATCCCTCAAACAAATATATAACATAGCTAATCTTGTTAATCAAGGCTTTGATTGCCTCTGACATAATTCCGTCGTAATTTTTTTCACACAATATATCAGTTATGGTTTTGAACCTCTGCCAAATATGTTATGATTTCGATACAAGCTAGAGTAACAAATTCTACTTCAATGCGTAGTATAGTCTGAAACCTCCTGACTAATTTTATCCTCTAATATCACTATTTCTTGACAAATGTGTTCCACACAATGACAGAAAAGCTAGCTATACATCTTAAATAAAAGAAATCCTATACACTTACAATAGCCCTTAAAATAGAGATTCAGGTAACGGCAATAGAAGTCAAGTAGTTTTGGACCATAAAATATCATTAAGTACAAGATAACTTATCTCAGTTTTGCCTCCACACTCCGCCTTGCCAATGAGTAAATAAACAATATTTTACCCATATATTATACAGTATAGGAAGCTAAATTTATGTGCAGGGCTGATTGAAGTTGCAAAATATCAGAGTCTTATCTTTAAATTTAATATGAATTTTTAGAATATTTTGAAGATACATCAACCTTTTCTAATTTGCGAAATAGATAAAGACTAGTGAACAATTGAAAATAAGTTTTGAACTGGTGTTAGAGTGAGATTGAGATTTAGAAATTCCAATAAAAGCACTGGCCTAGGTCACATAACTATTGTCAATGGAGAAAGTAAGCCCTTTGGCCCATTGTCTCCTTTTTGGTTGTTGACTTTGAAAATCAAAAATTTGGCATAAGAATACTACGATTAGTTTTCTCAGTACACTCTGTATAACATTTAACATTCATTAGCCAAACAAAGCATGGAAATAGGACATAACACTCCACTTATCAAGTCAAAAAGGAAATTCTCATATTTAAGTTTATTATGAAATAAGACCCTATGAATGAACTAGTTTATTAGGTATATATCTTCTACAATTATTTCATATAATAACCTTCGCCTTTCTTCTAATAACATGAAAATTATTAATATTGAGATATAAAACAAGTTCCAACAGGGACAAGAACAATCACTGTATTGTCACAACTTGTAATGTCTAGATTACTTTTTTATCATTATTAAATCACTGGATAAAGCCTTTTTCTCACACACCAAATCATAATAATGGCAATATGAGGTTGGGATATTCATTGAAATGACGAAAGGGGTAGGGATTTGAGCAATAATTCTTGGGGCCTAGTGCCAAACACATAGAAAGTCAAGGCACTGAATCTACTAACAATTTAACTCATAATTAATTACCTACGTTGGCCAGGCATGTCTGATTTGAGCCCATCATTGACTGTTTGAAATTTTAAATCACACAAGTAATAAACTTTTGAACAATCAAATGATCTACCTTATCTCTGTATATAATGTCAGTGACAAAGTTAACAATATGGAATAATATTATGAAACAAAAAGATGTTTTCAGAAAACTCTGTAATGTGATTTTTATCATAGTTTCATTTTTACAAATTTCCCTAAATCCTGAAAGGGTGCATTAAGAGAATGATGACCTTATAGTATACAGCAGCTTCTTATCCATGAAATATTTATGAATTTATCAGGACTGCCAATCTTTGGTCAGTTTGCCCTTCAGATATTCTTGGCTTGATGAAAACAGTACTAACACTTGAAGACATGTGTATGTATATCGTACATCAGTCTATTTCTAAAACCAGTACTGCAACTTAACCTAACCTAAACCTGTCAGAAAAACACTAGAAAAACACAAGAAATACCAGAAATATTCTAGGTGTAGTCTGTCTACATTACTTCTTTTACGTGGTTCATTTATAATTAGGCCTATATTATCATCTATTCTGGTTTTACCATTAAATACTAATATAGAACATTTGACATGTTATCAAGATTCTCCTGGTTATAAGACTGACTCTAGTGTTTTATGCTGGCTTACATTACCACCTAGAACTTATGTCAACTTTCAAGTTTATTATTCTTTCCTGTACTTTACAGTATGCCTACCCATATTGCTCAAATACCAAGTCAGAGCAAGCTATTGGTCCTTCGACAAGCTGATATTCAAGAAACCAAATATCAGCTTTTCATAAGCTGTTAAACTTATAATGAAACCTATCTTTAACTTCATAAATTTTGAATGATTCAAATTCTTTCAAAATATTTTCTCAAGTTTGAATTCCTGCTTCTTATTTTCAACCACAGCTACTTGTTCATTTCCTAAACTATTCCAAACATCAAATTCAAACCAAACAAATGAAGCCAATATCAAAGTAATGGCTTCCAGATTTGGGTTTTCGTAAAAAAAATACCGGAATCTTTCAATTTCCTGACAATATTTAGCTATTTGCTACTTTCCTTTCTGTGTATGGAAAACCACAACGTTATTTTTACAGTGTATGAAACAGTGTGGCACAATGTTATTATCTGATGTCATAACTGTTACTCATACGATAGGAAAAGAAACATAGTAATCAATTACGACGTTAATAACTCTCATTATTGAGTATAATTCACAGGCAATTTTACCGTATTTCTCTCAAAATCTCCCACCTACAACTGAATCATTGAAAATGCCAAAAAATAGGGTGCGTTCTTCAACTAATTTGCAAAGTACAAAACAATTTCGATAATCGCTCGTGATCATATATGAGTCTTTAGGAAATGATGATGTTTTGAAGACATTTCTCAAGATTCATCGAGTCCAACGCCATTATTAAAACACGTGCTTACAAACGACATGAAAAGCATGCGCTCTTTCCTGTCAATATCCCCAATTTGCTAAACTGTTGATAAGCTTACCTTGTCTTCCAACTATTTCTGCTACATGTTCCGAACTAGGCACTGGCACACATTCTGTAGTATTGGCACTCCTCGCTCTCATGTGTGCTTCGTCGAAAGTTGAATTTGGAAGAGGGGGAGAAGAAGAAGTGTCATCCTCCCCATTCAAAGCAAGCATGGATAGTTCAAAAGCTAACTGCAATGCGCGTTGATCCTCTAGCGCGCTGCTAGTAGTAGTCATTTCGGAATAAACGCTAGCAGGCATCACAAACGTTGCACGATAGAAAAATACATGAGTTGTCTTCGGTTTTCTGTTATATATTCTCACACACAACGGTTTTTTCTTTGTTCACTACTGTTGTGCCTCTGAGTGGGGTTTATAATGCACTAGACACTCACGTACAATGCACAAAAGCAATATGGCTTGGCTGACGTCATTTTCCCAGTATTCAATGCGAAGTCTGCTCATTGATTGATTTGATTGGTTAACGAGCAGGTGATAGGCGGAGTCAACCTTTGACCTGTTCTAGATTAATGTCTAGCAAAACACAGAGATAGTAAAAATTTTGCGGGTGGCCAGTCGACTTTTTGATGATTTTCGCGCGTGTTTCATTCACTGACAACATACCAAAGACATCTGCTAGATAGAACTATAAGAAAACGTTTTAAATACTTTTTGACGATATTTACTCTTTGTTTGCCAGATGTCGAGTCGAAATCTATATTCAGATTCTTTGTTTGGTTTGGCGATTCACGGTTGAGTGACAACACGCCGTCCGTTTGTTTACACTTTTGTATTCGTTTCGCGCCGAAATTCACACAAAGACTCTCAAAATGTATACAAATTTAACATAAACTTCAAAATTGCTGAAAATAGCCACAGAGACGTTACGAAATCAACGTTTGGTCATTCCGTAAAACAATGACAAACCCGACAAAAGTTATAGGAGACGTAACAAGCTCGATACCGATTGTTTACATTTGTGACTACCAGAGCATACCATAATAAATATTATGATATATATCCATACATAAGTAACTGTAAAGTTCTCTTCTAATTAAATTTAGCGACAAGAAGTTATTTTTAACTGGTTATTGTAGTATATATATATATAAAGAAGATTGTCATACTACATCATTAATATCATGTTGGAAAATTCTTTGCAAAATAAATTAAAATTGATCAAGATTTAATCGTCATGAAATTATTCATGGATATTTTTTTTGTTCTATTTAATATAAACTACGCACAATGACATTTCATTTTTTTTAACTCAATTTTTAACTAAACAAGCTTTGAAAATGACGGAAAACGTTTATCAAAATAACTTTGTTTTTTGTTTAACCATTGATCTCAATAAAAAAAATTTTGGATAAAGAAATTAAATGTTTTTTTTAAATCCACTGTTATCTGATTATCATTAGATTTTAGTGATCTGATAAATGTAATCTATTATTTTCACCTTGGTTAATTAGTGTTTCCACTCACCTGAGTGCCCCTTACAATAATCGGGGATTTAAAAGTGTAAAACTTAGACAAAGACCTGTCACCAGCGGAAAGATAACTAGTTTTTTGTTGGTAATTTTTTCACTTTGAGTATAGTAGTATACATAACGTGTAAAAATCAAAATCAATTGTTTTACTATTTTATCACAATGACGATTTGTATTTCGCACCTGTGGGCAGTTTTGATCCCCGCGAAGCAATATTTGATTGACACTTGAGCGGTGTCGTCTGATCACTGACGACTTTGAACGATGCACGTGAATTTCAGGGTATCTATTGCGTTGTTGAAATATTAGTATATAATTATTGTAAAAACATTGTCTTTATCTATTAGAATAATGATTAAGAGCAAAATAATTTCTATTATGTTAATAATTAAATAAAGATTCCGATGTTTAGTATTTGAGAATGTGTAGTGAAAATGGGTTTAAAGGGAGTTTTACTTCCTACTCCTCACCGCCGTAGCGGGCTATATAATATTAGACGGGTATTGCGCAGTGTATAACGAAATTTTACTGAACCCCACCCCCTCTTTGACTGTTGATATATTCAGCCCCTCCAGCCCTCCTGTAAAGTCTGTCACAAATATTCCGGTCGAAAAAATAAGTTTTGTGATCCTAATATTTCCAAAGTCATATGAAAATTTTTTCCATCATTTGGGGTAAGAACAGGATGAACTGAGAACATATATTCGATGTCCATTTTAAACGTAAATGCCATGGGAACGCAAAAGTCAAGTTGTCGTGCTCCTTTCCAAATGCACATGATTCAAATTCATATATAAGATTCATTCCATTCCAAAGTAACCACAACCGGTTATGAGATATGCAGAAAGTAATAAATATTGCTACGATCAAATGTTTTCAATAGGTTGCTAATGAAACGATAACTTGGCAGATGCATCTATATAATGATGTCATCAAAACTTATGTAATTAGTTTATCATTCTGATACATACTAATTAGTACCATAAACAATTAATAACCGGTCTTAATTACTGTACGTCATTCTCATATTTATTATTTACAATATGTTTAATCAGAGCCTTGTTTTACAGATAATAGCCAATATGGTGAGTTTTGAGCGTAGAAGAAACATTATGCCAATCAGTTATTCCCAGTTCAATAACCAATGCGTAGACAAAAAACCAACATGGTGACAAACAATAAAGTGTGGGGGGGGGGGGGTGCATCAGGTTCGTAGATTCAGTCATGATTACAATATCGTATCATGTTTTACAATGGTGGAACCATGAAGTTAGCAATTATTGGCACCATCATAACTTCCGTTTTTGAAATTTGGATTCGATTTATCTAAGCATCACCCCATTCATGTATTGTGTTTTTTCGAATGTTTCAGTGGAACGAATAATCGCTCGACGAGATATTCGGATATTCAGTGGATATGTTTTACATGTATAAGTTTTCCCATTGCCTTTTTCCAGACATTGCAAGATAAACAGACAAGTAAATTGTCCTTGAAAAATAAAAAGCAGACGCGGATGCGAGGATTTTTACTTTTTACTATTCGTTAGGATCGCGGTTAAATAACCCATCAAAATATAATTATCCCTTCTGCCTACACAGTTACAGAGGGATACAATTACATCGGCACAAATTACAATTAAACACAAATAGTACATTTTCCGTCATGTCAAAACATCAGGCCTACACAAATCTGCCATTGTTTTTTACGACCATAACGGCATGACTTTAACACCTTCATTGAACTTCCTAGCTGGAAGTTGACAAGAGCTATAAAAAACTCCATTTTTACCAGATTTGAACCCTGGTGAGGGGTTATACTACTATTTGTTTCATAGATGTCAGTTTATAACAGGCCCGTGTCTTCTTTATGTTTCGTGTTAACCGAGCTTTAAATGTATATTTACTGCCATTAAATGTATATTTTCGACCCCCGTATTTAATGCCAAGGTATAAAAAATAGTGACAGATATATAATGTGATGTACACTTTACTTATCAAATGATGTATATTTGATGTTCATGGGCTACTAAAAGTATGTTAATATGTAAATTGGCCCTCTGATCTTTTCAATATAAGTAATAAATGTATAAACTCGACACATGTCGACAGCATGGGGCAACTACTCTACCTTCTGGTCTGATTTCAGTCAAAATAAAACACGTGTTTCTGGTAAGGCAAATCCGGAATAAAATGTATCCGTATTGATGTTAACTTATTTTGTTTAATTAATAAAATACTACTGTAGATATTTTGATCTGTTTTACCCATTGAAGAGACGCGTGGACTTAAACGGAACTTGAACTTGAACCTATTCATTCAAATTGAATATTATGCCAGGGCCCTTGCCTGTGTCCGTTTCTAAATTTCCACCCAAAATGTGAGGAATTACGATGCTATTTGGTGTGTGTGTAAATATGTGTCCTGTTTTTAATATCTCTCATCCTTCTCCCCTTACTCCTGCGCAGTGGCAGAGCCAAAGGGGGGTGGGCAGAGGGGGCAGTCGCCCCCCTCGCAGCCCCGAAAGCAACTCATAACTAGGTTAAAGATTCGGGCAATCTCAGATATCTCGCCCCCTCTCGGACGTAAACCTGGCTCCGCCACTGCTCCTGCGTAATTAACATCGCTTTGTCAAGATGTCTACTGAAAGGCAGTATTAATGAGCTAAACGTATTTCATGGTTTATCAGGAAAGAACTCATAATTACTCCCTTTGGCAAATAAAAAAGTTCAATTGAATATCTGTGTATCATCAGAATTCCAGAACAGTGTCGCAAAAATTATCAGATTTTATTTTCCTAACGTCAATTTTAATCTGCACTGTGTGACATGTAAAACATTTTAAAACTATAATCTAACATGAAATTTGAAAGTTTAGATACAGCAATTGACCGGGGTACTGTCATGTACAAACGAGAAACTGGACATTGATGGACCACAATATATATCTTTATGTGGTCCGAATTCCCTAACTTCTATACTACCTTTGATGTTTGATTGCTTGTAATAGTGGACAGAAATCATACAGACAGAATTCAATACCCTACCCGTCATCACGGATTATTAAGAGCCAAAGTTATATTCAGCTGAAATTTTGACGAAATTTTCATCGAAGATACACCAATTCGGGTTAAATGCACAATATCGTTTTGAGGTAAGGTAAGAGTCAAGGAATTTCAGGTTATTCTTAATATATGATACATAACGACCCATTACTTTCAGGGCCGGACATCGGGCCATCAAATACAAGTATGCGATTTCTCAAGTAGTGCATTTTTTTCTCGTGTAGGTTACTGTTAAACGACATGACCCCCGCTGACCTTTGGTTGTCTATCATTTTTGAAATCTTTTGTTGTATACATATTTTAATTTACATACATATACAAACCTATTTTACCATTGTAATTTAGATGGTCATTTTGATGGGAAATTTAAATTGGCCAATAAATCAAATAGTTGTCAAGATGGTTGTTTCTAAGAAAGGACACATGGGAAAAAAATGGATTCTTGTCTGAAATCTTTATTAAATAATTTTGCACAAACTGGAGAAGATTTTCTAGTGATGACTACCCTATATCCACTATTGTTCATTGTTCAAAAGATGGTCTGTTACAAAGACAATAAAAACACTACAGTTGCAGGTCTTATGTCTTTGATTCATTAAATGATTCAACCCAATTGAGATATCCCATAAAGAACATTTCAGACACGATGCTGCAACCTGATGCCATTGTCAACTAAGAATATAGCCGTGTACGCAATAACACATCACCAG